CAGGTCCTCTTGCAGCGCGGCCTCGAGATCCCTGGCGGCGTCGAAGAGGAGCGCGATGGCCTCGCCCTCCGCGGCTGCCACGACCTCCTGCCCGATGTCGTCCACGTGGACGGAGATCAACACCTCGGGGTGGCGTTCCTGCTGGGCCGTCAGGTCCGCGATGAGGTAGGCCGCCAACGCGTACGTCGCGGCGAAGCACCCAGCCACAATGTCGTTGTCGGGGAGGATGTCCGCGGAAACCATCCCGTCCATGACCGCGTACCCGTCCCCTGGAAAGCGCTGACCACAACCTGCAGGATTGTCGCGGGGAAGCTCACAGCACGCGCCGCTTGGATCAGCTTGGCGTGCGAGACCTTCTCGAACGCCGTGGCCGGGTCCCCTGCCAGCACGAGGAAGGCCTGGCCTGTGCCGGCCGCTGACTCGCCGCGCGCAGTCGCGAGCCACACGCAGTCCGTGCCCTTCCTGCCCCCCCTTGTGTTGAGGATGCCCCCATCGTTCAGGTCTCCTCCTCTTCTTCCTCCTCCTCCTCCTCCTCCTCATCATCATCATCATCATCATCATCATCATCGTCCTCGTCCTCCTCCTCCGCCTCGACGTACTCCTGAGCCTCCTCCTCCTTCTCCTCCTCCTCAGCCTCCTCCTCCTCCTCCTCCTCCTCCTCCTCGACTTCCTCCTGAGCCTCCTCCTCCTCCTCCTCCTCGTCCTCATCCTCCTCATCCTCCTCCTCCTCGACTTCCCCCTGGGCCTCCTCCTCCTCCTCCTCCTCCTCCTCCTCCTCCTCCTCCTCACGCTGCCATGCCCTCAACCTCGGCTTCTGGCACTTGCCCCAGACACGGTAGAGGGCCTTGAGCTGGCCGATGGCGACGCCCACCACCCAAAGGCTTGGAGTACTGCGCCGACATCAGCTCCTGCTCGCACGTGGGCAGCACGCCCGACGCCGTCACCATATTCAGCACGGAGGCAGTGGCGTCGAGGCCCTCGAACCCAACGAGGTGTCGAGGGTGGGCCCCTGCTGGCGTGCAGGTGCCCGGCGTGAAACGGCTGGCCGACTTGCCAACGTCGTCGGCTTTGACGTACAGGTGCTCGTAGCCCAGCCCCTCCTCCGTCACCAAGGCGTCGAGGGCCTGCTGCAGCTCGCCGAGCTGCTGGGCCGCTAGCGGAGGCTCGAGCCCGCGCCGGTGCCGCGTCCAGTTACCATGATACTGCGCCAAGAGCGCCACAGGGTCTGCCGCAACATCGTGAACGGCTTGCGCGGCCAAGTCGTTGTGATCTCGGGGTCGACGCTGCCTGGCTCCCGGGTCCAGCGGTGGAGCATCGGGCCGCCTTCGGCCAAATCGGCCCGCAGAGCATCCCTCCATGCCGCCCCACTCGGCGCGCGCCCATGAGGTACTCCCTGGAGAGGCGCTCGGCCGTCGCCGCCAGCACACCCAGGCCGCGCAGGCGGCCTCCGTGGCGGTGCACTGGGCCTTTCGGGCCGCCGCTAGCGCCTCTTGGGCCGCTGGGCACGCCTCCAGGGCGCCGCCAGCGGGGCCCCCGGCGCAGCCGGCGGAGGGGTCCGCCAAGGGGCCCGCAGGGAGCGCCAACGAAAATTTTGACGCCCCCTCGCTATAGGGCCCCCCTCCGGGGCCGCCGGGAGCGCCTATGGGGCTGCTGGGCACGCCGCTGGTGGGCCCGCGGGGCCTGCGCGCGGGTTGGCCGAGTTGGGCTGGGACCATTTCCCGCGCGGGCGGCGAGCCCCCTCGGCGCGGGGGCCCCCCCCCCTGCAGGGCCGGCGGGAGCGCCTCCGGGGTCGCTGGTTGCGCCGCCAGGGCCGCCGTCCACCGCCAAGCCGTCCTGGCTGCCCGAGTCCAGGTCGGCGAACGGGTCGAGCTCGCCATCGAGGGTGGTTCGAACAGGTCGCGCCCCCAGCTGCGAGGAGGCGCCGGCGGCCACGCGGGGCGCGGCGGCGCGCCGAGCGGCCCTTTCAGCGCGCTCGGCGCTCTCTCCGGCGCCGCCGGAGGCCCGGGAGAGCTCGGGCCAGACAAAATCCGCTCCTGGCCTGATCTCCGGGCTCGCATTAGTAGGCGCGGCGGCGGCCGCGGCGGCCGCGGCAGCCGGGCTTCACGGCCAGCGGGCCGCGCCAGGGCCGCGCGCGGGTGCGGGCGGCAGGGACCGAGGCGGGCAGCCGCCTGCGGCCTCCGTAGCCCAAGCTGCCAAGTTGCCCTCGATGGCGTCACACAGGTGGCCGAGGAGCGCGTGCCAGTCGGCCCAGTCTGGCAGCTTGTCGCAGTGGAGCGCATAATGTCCACGCGCTGGAGGCCCTCGCGCAATCGCGCCAGCTCCTTCCTGCAGATGGCTAGCCGCCGAGGGCCTCCGCCAAGCGAAGCAGCAATCAGACCTGCCAGCGTGTGTAACCGACCGCTCAGCCAGCGCGTGCCCTTGCTTGCCCGTGCCCTGGTGTTCTTCGGCGTGGCCAGCACCGCGTCCAGGGGCTTGTCGACGAAAGACAAGCCGCCTCCCCAGTAGGCCAGATCCCGCGGCGCCGCGTCGACGACACCACCAAAGTCGAGGCGGGCCGTGCGTAGCCGCGCAGCGTGAGCACCGTCGACCACGACCTGCCGCTGCTCCACCGGGAGAGGCTCACCTTGTACTCGCCCTGACGCACCGCACACGAGCGTGCAGGTTGGCCCCCAGTCCGGCGGCTCGGCTCTAGGCCCGATCGGGCGTTCGGATGGCAGCCGCGGGGGCCTGCGCGCAATGCGCACCGTGGGCCAGTTACCCACGCCCTCGAGCGGCAGCTCGACCAGGTCGCGGGTCGGGATGAGGTGCTCGGGCCTGACGATCGGTCGACCGCAACTGTCCCAGCAGCCCGCCGGTCACGAAGAAGTCCCTCGCCTAGTGGGTCCCCTGGCTGCTGTGGCACGTGGGCTCTTCGGGAGCAATCACCTGGATGCCGTGGCCCCCGAAGCCCGCGTAAACGGTGGCCTCGTCGGGCCCAAAGTTCCAGTCGCCGCCGGCAAGCCAGGGCACCTGGTGCCCTTGAGCGTGGTGAATCACAGTGCGCAGCGAGGTCTCATTACCAGCGACCCCGACGCCAACCTTCCTCCTGCGAGTCCCACCAGACGTCCAAATGTTTCTCGGCCAAAATCGCGACCCCGCCGCTGGGCAAAGTCTCCACGATAATGGCGTCATCGCCCGTGAACTTTTAACCTCGCGACTTGGCCGAGGCAGCTGCCTCAAGTCCCCTCTCTATACGAAGCTTGTGATCCTGAACTAACCAAATTGAAAAGGCTGCATCCTCCAGATTGTCCAGCAGCCGTCGCATCAATTGTGGCGAAACTGAGAGCATCTGGCCGCCTCCCCCTGCTCTGCTGCTTACAGCCATGCAAAGGCGAACCAGCTGCTGATGACGAAGTCGGGCTTGTAGAGACAGACGCGCCGTCCCTGCAGAACTGCTGGCTCGCCTGCCTTTTCGACTGCCCCCCGTCGCTAGCGCTTGACCATGTCGAGCTAGCCAAACGCCTCGGCCATGGCTGGCTTGGCATCTGGGGCTTGGGCTGCTATGGCAAGCAGGTCGGCAGTGGTCTGGTCGAGGGGCTCGGGCATGGGCTCCTCGCCGTCGGCGTCGCCGCGCCCAGGGGCAGCCCCGCCAGGAGCAGCAGGAGAATCGGCAGGAGGTACCGCTTTGGCCAGCACCTTGCCGAGGAGTCCATGGGGATGCCCACCGCCCCCGCGCCCAGCCACTATCCCATTGTGCTAGCTGCAATGACCTCGGCGACCAGCTCCTTCTGCTTGGCCTCGTCGGGGAAGCCGGGGGCACCTGCGGGCGCGGGCGGAGGCGGGGCAACCCTCTGCACCGCCTGCCGCACCTCTCGCTCAGCTTCTGCGATGGCCGCGGTGGTGGTGGTGATCTCCGCCATGTGCGCGTCCTGGTCGGCCGTGGCCTCCTCGAGGGCCTGGCGCGCCGCCTCCACCGCGCCCTCCTTGTCCTCCTTGGCCTGCTCGAGCTTGGTAAGCTTGCCGCGCGGCCTCTGCAGGCGGCCGTTGGTCGACGTGACCCGGGCCAGCGGCGCCCTGCTCTCCAGTCGCTGCGCGCGCGGTGCTGCGAGGGCCGCCCCAGTCTGTGCGATCGGCGGGTCCTCGTACTTCGTGCGCTCGAAGCCCGCCGCCGTGGCCTCGAGCGCTTCGATCTGGCCCGACAAGTTGTCGTCCTCCGAAGGGCTGCGAAGCCTCGGGAGCGGGCGGAGCGTTGCTGTGGCTCGCTCCTGCGCCTTTGCAGGCGGAGAGTTCCTGGCGCATCTCCTTCCGCAGCGCCTCCACAACCGGGGACAGGTCAGAGGGCTCCTCCAACGCCCTGCCGAAGGCGATGCTGCTGGCTACCGTGGCTGGGCAGGAGCAGGACGAGGAGGAGGAGGAGGAGGAACAGGAGGAGGAGGTGGAGGAGGGGGAGGAGTAGGAAGGACGGCTTAGGACGAATGGGGACGCTACAGGATAAGGGAAGAGCTGTTTCCTTGCCGCCTTCTCTCCTCTGTCCTCACGCCTGCTCCCTCTCGGGTTACTCATGCTCAGAGTCGCTCGCACTCATACACCGACCACTCGTGCTCAAATGCACCCACACTAAGCTTAGTCATACTAAGACCCGTACGCGTAGATTTATTCACACGAAGACTCAATCACGCTCACTCAGACTAGCTCGCACTCAGGCTCACCCGCACTCAGATTCTCACACTCAGCCCGCTCATGCCCAGACTCTCTCGTACCCAGACCGTTGCAGCGGAAAATTCCAGGAAACTAGATGCACTGATGCATGGGGATCTCCGCGTCGAGTAATTTACGGGGGATGTTGGGGAAGGTCTAATTGGTCCGGGTTGGCTGCCGGTCGCCTGGGGGAGGGGGTGTTATTTCATAAGGAATTATGATCAGCCCCTCCCCGAAAAGGAAGAATGGGGGTTGGAAAACGAAATTCGCTAAACCACTCACGCTCCAAATGGCTGGCGGGACTACGCGGGCCGCGCAGGGGC